ATTAAGATCACTGTGTTCCGATATTGTCAGACCAGGTGGGTGATACACGACACAGATAACGCGATACCGGATAGAGGTCTAGGGAGGCGTTTCGGTCGAATGCTCAGCCATAAGCATTCTAAATTCTCACTTTCTAGGTCTACCCGTCGTATACAGGGGATGTCTTTTTTAATATAAGCACAAACTCCGCCACCTCTTCCAATTGCGCGATCTTTACGGAATAAATTGTAATCGTTAATTGACAATAAGCTGCTGTCTATGTGTTCGTGTAACCATGATTCAGTTATTGCGATAATGACAATGGGCTTGAAACTTAGTAATGCTGTCAATTCGTCCAGCTTTGGAAGGAGTGAGCGGGAGTTAAGTAAAAAGAAACATGGGAGTATCATTTCTTTGTTAACCTTATAAACATGGTTTAAAGTTGTAATATGGATTAGGTTGGAGGAGGGAAAATAGCAATTCTTGCGCTTCTTGTGCTGTTTAAACGTTCTAGAACGATCTGTAATATGGACGGAGATGTTCGTTCCATTTTTGGTTTCATTTGGTGTCGATGTTTTACGTAAGGTTAAAGAGGACTGTGGACTTATTCCATCCGGAATGTATAGGAAAGAGGTTTCGCTATTCAAAAAACGAGGGGTCACATTGGTATAGTCAATAATCTCAGTTGGGTAAAAGTTTAGGTCATTATCGTCATTATCGCTAATTTGTACAGGATCACCATTATCACGGACAATTTCCGCGTGGAATAAGTGACTTCGAGAGGTTATTTGTTCTTCGTTACTTGACGCACAAATTCGAGATAGACTGACCATTCTTTCATTCGGGAACGACGAAAATTCTGATTTACTGAATGTTTGAGACGATTGTGCTTGGGGAAATGTAGTTGAAAACCCCGAGTACGGTTTTGTGATGGTTGTTGTCGTGTAGCTTGATACCGATTAGGTTTCTTGCAGCTAGTAGTTTTACTAGAATAAGTTCTATTGGAGCGACTACGAGTGTGTGTGCGGCTGGAAGTACGCGTACAAGACGTATCAATCAAGGGTAAGGAGTTAATCCAGGATGAATTTTGTCGTAAAGATCGCGAGTTGGGTAAAATACTTTTCCTATGCGATTTGACATTCTGACCTTCAGATGGATTAGGGCCACTTGGGTTATGAATAAACTGGTTACTACTATAAACTTTAGAGATCTCTCCCTCAGAGCGTTTTTCCGACTGCAACGAGGCGTTCAAATTAGTATTTACCTCGTGACTAGCTTGTATATTAGTTGCCATAGGTTGACTAACCCTTTCGTTTTCCTCATTACTATCCTCGGGTTTATTGTCATTCGGTTTTAGACATACATCCTTCATATTATCACGTACCGGTGATTCCACCTCAATACGGTCATTATTGAGTTGATCACATTCTTTGGTCCGATTCAGGAATGGAAGAATTTCGCATTGTTTTGATTTCAAAAGGTTAATTGAATTTATGCGCATTATTGTATCACTTAAAGATTCATTACTCGCTTCAGTTGACTTGAGTTTATTCTCAAGGCAGACAATAATATTATTCAAATCATTTATCTCCTGTTTCTTCCTCTGACTAAAATAGTTAAATCGGACTCAAGACGACTGTTTTTATCTTTTTCATGAGCAAGTTCTCGCTTAAGTTGGCTTACATTGGTACGTTCGGTCGCAAATTCAATCTCAAATTTCTTTTGTAAAATAACTAAATCAAGTTTTATCCCTTCAAACTCAGCAACCAGAATTCCGCAGCCACAACCACAATTATCATTATTCAGCTCCATATGCTCAGTCTGGCAATGATTATTGACAAAAGCGGGAGCTGAACGATGGATAATTCTATGATTTTCTACTGAACAAAGACAACAGAAGGTAAACTAAGTAAAATTATTTATTTTGTGGATCGTTTTACAGCAAGGACATGCTTGAAAAATGCTTTTTGAGAGACCACTACAAATTTTAGTTGCCGAAAAACAATTTGTTGATTACAACATTTATAAAAACAATTTTGACTGAATAAAGCCCAGGAATTTAAGGTATATTTTTGAAATTTTATGTTTTAAGGACAAGCTGTACGTTGTAGTATTTATATTTATACATATATTTTCGAAGAATAGCTGAATATATGTGGAGCATTTGACTTGAAACATCGTAGCACTGGCTAGTGTTTTTTATGTTTATATTTAATTTTTTCGCATTTTGGTCGGAGGAAAGTACATTTCGGGCATGGCACTAAGTCCGCTGAAGTCAATTCACTGTATTTGACTGTCTTTAGTATAGATAGTGTCGATTTTTCAACTTTTTGAGTAGTGTTTTGAGTTTGAAAATTGTCTTCACTCCCCGGTTTTTCGCGAAAAAATAACTCTTTTCGACCACGGTCAAGATATCGTAAAAGCTGCTCGCTGTTGCAGCCAATCAGATTGCAGGAAATCAAAAATATCACTAGGCAAGCACAAATAAAAAATTAAGTTTACTTATTACTAGGAGGAGAATATTTTGTGTTTACGTAACATGCAAGCACTCAAAACTAATGAATATATACTTTTCCACTTGGTTATGACTATATTCAAGTTTTATAATTTTTGATACGTTTCTCAAGCGGCAAGCAAACTTAAAAAGCATGTTTATCTGTAAAAGAGATCTCTAGATGGTACCATTGGTACGCCAAAGATTAATGTCTGAAGTTCGGTACGTTTTGCTTATATTGCTTTGCAAATATGGCGTCAATTGTACAGCATCAATAATAATTGTATTTAAGGTGGCTCGATATAGTTATCACAAAAACCCTGCTCACTAAGAGTCGCGAACTCAACACCGGGTGATCATTTTTACGCGCAGGTCGTGGAAACTGATTAACAAAGTGAAAGAACTTCTAAAATGACCTGACGTAAGCAGTTGCTCGCGCCATATCACGTCATTGCGTGTGTTCTATAGTGTTTTATGTCAATTGCTGACGTCATTAGAATTTTCCATTATAGAAAAACAATGCGCTATATCTCTTTATTTTGTCTGGTGACCTATGTTCAAATTTTGCATACCGTATTGCACCGCTAAAAACTATTATACAAAAAATAAAAAAATTAGAATATGAACATGACATTTTCGCATTTTCCAAAAAAATGGCGTTACAGAATTTTTTTATATTTTGTTAAATGTTAGCTTTTCGTCGAAGTAACATAATGCACGAAAAAAAATTGGGGGTCACCATGCTTTTTTTCCAACTATACGAGACGATAGGCCATTTTGGAGTGAATTTCGTACACGTATGTCGTCATAGCAACGAACTATCTGTTACTAAGACTTATATAATTTGAAAGTTGAGATCAAAATATATAAAAACCTCAATATCTGCTGAATAAATCATAAAAATGCGTAGTTTGAACATGTCAAAGTGTTGAACACCTGAATTTTTGAAAACTGTATCGAGCCACCTTAAGTATAATTCAAGATCAGTAACTCAATTTATTTTTTATCGGTGAAAATGAAGCAATCTGATTGGCTGAGGAGCCTTTCAGAGCGGGCCAGTTTTTTTGCATCCGGCCGCTCTGAAACACAACTGCCCGCTGTGAAATGTAACTGCCCGCTCTGGTTTTCGCGGCAAAAACTGAGGAGTGAAAAAATTTTTAAACGAAAAAATCTGCCAAGAACGTTTGAAAAACATAGCCTAACGATAGTCAGAATACAAAAATGAATTGCATCAAGCCCATACAAGCTTCATACTAAGCACGATGTTCACGAGAATTGACAATATTTTGAAAGAAATGCGACTGAAAGTCGGAAAGTATTTGACATGTATAAAATTTACGTCGAGAAAACTATATATTTTTTAAATGCTCATGTATTCGGCCACTTAAAAGCGAAAAAATTATAGCTTAAACAGATATTGTAAATAAATGTTTTCCCATTTATAAAAGAAGGTTTAACTGCAGCAGTGAAAACAAGTCACGAATATATTCTCTACCCATTTGTGTCATGTATTTTTCACTGTTTTTGTATTCGTGTTTTATATCTTTTATTAAACTTTTCAGTTTTTGTCAGCCTCGCTTTGAAAATACACAACTGTACTGATCTCAAATTAGTCGCAAGCAACATTGGAATTTTAATCAATTTAATTTTTACATCTGATAAAAAATAAACACGGTATTTACAGGCAGCGTCGGTCCGGATGAGAAAAACTGTGCCATCGGTCTTGAAAACGTCCCTCGCCCTTCGGGCTCGGGCCGTTTTCAAGACCTCGGGCACAATTTTTCTCATCCCGAACTCGCAGCTGGTAAAAAACATATATGTTTTTAACATTTTGAACATTTTTATTGTTAAAAACATTGAGTTTACTGATCTTGAATTATGCATAATTGATTTTTATAGTCCGCATTTTCAATTAAAAGGGTTGAAATGCGCCTTAAAAACCATCATGCAAAAGGCTGAACAGCCTGAACTGTGCCTTTAAGGCCGATTCACACTACATAAACCTTTGCCCAAAACTGTCGCATGGAACATGCTTACAACTTGAGTTGAACTGTGTGAATTAAGCACACAACTCGCCTATTTGACATGACGTATGGTCAAAAATTGTGGATCGCTATGTTAATTTACTATTTTTTCTCTGAGAATTTTATATTTTTAAATCTTAGTTTTCATAAATGTATGAAAGATGTATCGGATTTTTTTATTCTTAATTTTAAAAATTTCTAATCGTGTCTTATATAGTTATGCTAAAATGTCAATTGTATTAACCCTTTTTTTTCGGGTCAGAGAACAAATCATGCAAGGCTTTGATAGTATGCTGGTAGAAATTAATATGTTTTCTGCGAAAAGTGAACATTCTTATCTCGTTTTTTTTTATTATCTGTACTATGTAATGAGCCGCGTCTTGCCGAGTTGCATGCCGATATACTTACCACACCTCTTCTGGATATGACTAAGATCCACACTGTTTCCATTGTAAGGACTTCTAAAAAATTTCTTTGTACCCACCATTTACTTTTTTTTACAGCAGCACAACCACTTACTAGAAAGCCAGAGTGGTGCTATTCCATGAAAAAACCATATGGTGTTGCAGTGATCATTAATATCAAGCAGTTTGAGGAACAGTTGAATTTCGATAACCGAGAAGGTTCTGATGATGACGTAGAGAATTTGAAACGCTTGTGGAACGAACTTGGCTTCACTGTAACGATAAATGTGGATTCGACAACAGCTGACAAAATCTACATATTTCTTAAACAAGTGGCAGCTCAAATTAATGCAAATACTGAAGATTCAAGCTGTTTCGTGTGCTGTATTATGACTCATGGTAATATGGGCAAGATATATGGTTCAGATTCCAAGTCTCTTGACATTAAAACAATTACAGATATATTTAAGAGGAACAATTGTGGAGCTTTAGCGGGAAAGCCGAAGCTGTTTTTTATTCAAGCTTGCAGAGGAAGTAACCAGTTACGTGATCACGCTAAGCCAGATGCAGAAAAAGAGAAAGGCCCGAAGGTGGCACCAAGGGAAATACCCAAAACCGTGGATTTAGCCGCTGCAGCTCGTGATGCCGATTACGAGAGAAAAAATAATTCAGATTTTCTTAAACGAGCAAATCCAAATGAAATTAATTTTTTAATTGGATATTCGACAGTGCCAAGTAAACGTCTCCTTTAACTAACATCATGCTACTTAAAGTCTTGCGTTCAGTTCTTGAGTTCGCATCGGTTTAGTCATGATAGTAGAAAAAAGTAGCTGCAGCTAACTAGGTTGTTTATTCACACCAAATTTTATATCAAAAATTATATTAGAATCTTTCCCCATATCAAAGTCTATTATGCCGTCATATACTTAATCAAGAACTTTTCAACTAAATATAAAGAGCCCCATTACCGCTGCCTCGGACAGTGAACCGCGCAATCCAATTCCTTCCTTCCACGAGTGTTTAGATTCGATTTCACTTAAGTTAACCTGTTCCCCTTAATGCTGTAATTTCCATGTTTCTAATACAGCAGAGTGCAATCTTCATTTTGTTTTCAATTATAATTGGTTAAGGTTTGAGTTAGCAAGTAGGTTAGAGAAGGGATTAGAAGCGGAAAACGTTCAGATTTTAAGCGGTTCTAAAACGATTTCTGACCGATTTTATTCGATTTAAAAGAACAAACCAAACCATGGCAACTTGCTTTTAATTGTATTCTTTAGGGTATGTAAGTTACCGGCATGTGAAAGATGGATCGTGGTATATATATGCATTGTGTGAAATATTTCGTAGACACCACAAACATGAAGATGTCACATCCATGATGACCAGAGTAAATAACAAGGTTCAGAATCAGAAACATGGAGAAAGTGGTGTCATACAGTGTCCCGCACCTGTTGCTACACTTACTAGAAAAATTTACTTTGATTGAACTGTTACTTTGAATTTTGGTTAACGACATAGAAGAAAGTTCTGCAGCTAGGAGCAAAACATTTATATTTTTCTTGCACCTGAATTATGTACTTTGCCTACAATATATATCATCTGCGTAAAAACTATTTTGTCTAGCTGAAATAACATTGAACGTTGTTGTGTTATTGCCGATGGCCGGAGAATTCGTATTGTGAAGAAATAGACAAAACACGTGTGACGATAGATATAATTCTCACTTCAATTGAAGCGAAAGTTTTATGAAACGAAATTCTTACCTCATTTTTTATTTTCTTGATAAAATATACTGGTGGAGTGATGAAGAATGACGTTTACAGTTTTTTCATATCTCATCTCACTCTCAAGTTATCGCACTTTCTATATTTTGAGTTGTGACGTCACAAGTTTGACTTGAGATAATGGCAATAACAAGAAAGTCTGTTTTCTTGGTGATAACTTAATAAAATTCAATGAAACTGTGTACACTTATATTGGACAGGTCATGTGGTTGTTATGGCAACACACTAGTTCTCTGTCACTTCTCTTCCTTTTCAATAATTTCCACCTACAGACCAGTTGTAGAGGATTTTTGCTTGTTATAACGGTGTAAACTGATCAACTTCAACTTCAACTTTTCAACTTTTATTATTAAAATTAATAAGTATATATTTAACAGCCATTTACCCTCCCACATTTAGCAATAGCTATTCGAGGTGGGGGGTTAAGATTTCATACAGTTAAGGAAAAAAAAAAGAAATCAGGCTCCATGGCAGAACTGAATGCCATGGAAGAATTACCAAAGCCGGCTGTATACGTGTCTACCGTGTGAAAATTAATTTAGCTCATATACAGAAGAAAAGAAACAAGAATTAATCAGTTTTAGATATTGTTTGCATAATCATGGTAAGATCACCATAGTCATCGCAGAAACTTAGAGCATCGAGGAGTAAACTTTTGCATTGTTTGGAAAAACAGGGTTTACTTAATTCTCGAATAGAGGTAGGTAAACTGTTCCAAATTTTTACACCCATTCTGGAAAATGACTTAGCTAAGATATTTAATCTCGAAAATGGTTGATAAAGGTCATGACGAGCCGCAGACCTAGTATTGTACTTATGTGTATCAGCAATGGCAGTGAATAATGTTGTGATATTAACCGGAGATTTATTGTTCATAACGTCATGCATAATACAAGCCACATTATGAAAATAGAGAAAATTTATTGGAAGAATTTCAGATTTAGTAAAAAAAGGTATAGCGTGATCTCTGTAATCGGCAAAGTGCATCAAGCGGACAGCTCTTTTTTGGTGAACAAGCAGACGATTGAGATCAGACTTACAAGCTTGACCCCAAACAGTGATTCCATAACTCAGATAAGGATGCATTAAGCCATAGTAAATCTTTTCTAGAATATATTTTGGAATAAAATGTCGAATTCTGGAAAAAATCCCGATAATCCGACTGGTTTTAAGAGAGATATAATCAATATGAGCTTTCCAAGATAAACTAGAATCAATCATGAGACCAAGATACTTCACAGAGTTTTTCATTTCTAAGGGCAACATTCTCTTGGTTCCATGATCATATAACTTTAGCTGAGGAAAATAATCTATTCTTTTTTGATTCGGATGAAAAATGACAAAATTTGATTTGCTAACATTAA